AAAATTCCACAAATGCGTAAAAAGGAAGTCACAAATGTAACGTGACCCACAAATTGACAGGACATGATCCGCAAATGTGCAAAAACTGTTTTGTGTGTAAAACTAGATCCACAAATGCGTAAATAACACTTTATATGTTAAATTAAAATATGTGAGTAAATTGTACATATTTGCAAATTCCACTGTATTTTTGTGGATATGATTTTACACAACACAAATGTAAAAATACATGTTTTGGCTAGTGAGATATTTGTGTATATATATATATATATTTTTTTTTTTACACATCTCCGCAGTACACATTGGACAAAATACCACAAATGTGTAAAAAGGAAGTTATAAATGTAACATGACCCACAAATTGACAAAGCAATCTGCAAATGTGCAAAAACTGTTAGAAGTCACTCTGTATTTTTGTGGATATGAATTTACACATTACAAATGTAAAAATACATATTTGTAGATAGTGAAATATTTGCGCATCATAGTAAATATTTGTGGATTGTTTTCTGTGGGTTACAAACATTAAAGACCAATAAAATCTTCCATACAATTGTAAGTCACTTTGGATCAGCGTCAGCTAAATTAATAAATGGAAATGGAAAAAGATATACTGTGTAAATGGGCTGGACATGGTCATATCTGCCTCAAACTTCACGTTTGATAAGAATCCTGCCCTGAAGACATCTACATGTCAATATCCAGTCGCAGTGATAGCGTGTAAAATAAAACATGTTTTATTTGTTGCGATACTGCTAGCAGGTTAATCCAATTTGTCTCAAAACTGTCTCAAAAAAGCCTTAACACGGTTAAAGGTTCTATAAGGACCTGGTTCCAAAAATTTGTCAAAACCCGAAAATCAATAAGGTCCGAGCTTATCGATACTGCTATCGAGACTAGCGGGTCCTATAATGTGATTTTAAGTTTCACAAACCAAGAATATTCTGTAATGTTACATCACGAGCCAGATGTGTCTCGATTTAGGTTAAAACTTAACATTACTGAGAATTTATTGACAGAATAACAGTGGTACGAACATTATCAGCTGTTGCTGGACACGTCTGCTGTGTTGGCTGCAGTGGTCTGTGTGACTGGGCCTGGAGGAGCTAACCGTAGCTAGCTAGTTATTCCTGACAGCCCCCCGAAGTATATTCCTCTTACCCCAACCAGGGTATGTGCCTAAAGTTATTGATTATATTGCATGTCGACCGGTTAACCCTACAGCGGCGCACATCGGCATTTCGGCCGACGTGCTAGCAGATAGGGTTAACCTCCATTGTGTTGCTGTGCAGCCTCCAGTAACGTTACTGCAGCTATATAACACCTGTCGGCACCATGGTCGGCACTTGCGGAGCTTCTCAACTCCGAAAACGTTTGAACACATTTTCGATTCGCTGCCAATTTTCGTAAAACTGCCGATCTTCGAAATCTACACAGTTGTTTTCTCGCCTAAAAACTTCTCAGACGTGTATTTAAAGTTCTGTTGTTGGCTTCTAAAGAATAAAACAGTTTGCATTAGGATCTATCATGTACGTAAGCCGAGATGAACGTCATCACGTTTTGTGCGCAGTGTCTTCTGGGACAAACCATATTTGGAAGTTCAACTTCCGTCAACTTCTGTCACGGTCTGCAGGCTGCAGCTGGATATACTTGCACAGTGCCCTGAACAGAGAGACGCAGACGACGCTCCGTCGCTGTGGTTAAGTTAGCTCCAAACTACTCGAGTTGCCGACAGCGGCGCTCGTTATTTGAAAGAAAACCTTCGCGAGTAAAAAGACAATGCTTTTTCACTACACCTGTCTGTAAGGTAAACATGTAGAAAGGGTTCATTTTAAACTGCTCTGTCCTCAGTCTCTCATCCTGTGTGTCCTATACAAGCACAGCTAACGTTAGCTTGGCAATTAGCCAAATGTTACAAACAAGCTAATAGAAAGCTGTCTGTCTGGAGCATAGACTGGTCTGTAGTCTTAACATTTGGCAAAGTGTTGTAAACTCAGCTGCTGGCTGAGACAAACCAGCCGCTCCTCCTTCCATCAGGTAATGTTACCTGTAGGCATAGAGGAGGAGGAGGAGGGACTGATACAGACTAAACATCACTCAGTATTGTGATGTCGGATATTGACTATAAGGTGACATTAATGTTGCTGCTCTAGAAACAATATTTAGCTGTATGTAAGATATAAAATTCTAATCCTATAATTAATTTAAAAACAACCAGACAGCTAAGGGCACTTCAATATTATGTTTATTTATCACAACTCATATGTCATCTTAATATATAACGTTGTCGAATATTTTCCTCATACCGTGCAGGCCTACCTCATGCCCAGTGGGTCTGGTCTTTACCAAATAACCATCACCAAATAATAGTAGCCTCAAGTATCAATAGTGGTATCGAGAAAGAATCGGATCGTTAAGCAGTCTCAATAAGGGTATCATATCATGGATAATCAATTACACATTTAGAATGCCCGGACTTAAAGACAAGTCTCTTGGACCCATATGCTGGACCCATATGCTAGACCCAACAGGAAGCCGGCCATATTGCATTGAATGTCGGATCTACCTCCATTTATAGGTCCCATACTTTAATGAACTCCTCCTAGAGCTTTAACCTGATCGATTTCAAATGTGGGAAGCGCAACCTTAACGGCCTTGCGATGTTAAATTGCAAAGCTTTTTTTAGATTGGTCAAACGGTGTGTCCATGGTGTGGCGTTTAATTTTGATGATTCGCCATGAAAAGGAAGTAACATGTAAATGGACTAGAAATGGTAAGATCTGTTCCCAATTTCACATGTCAACTCCTTAGAGTCTCACATGTCAATGTCCAGTCATAGTGACAGCGCCACCTACTGGCATAAGGAAAGGACATGTTTCAAACTTTACCCCTAATGCCTCATTTTACTTTTTAACACATAGAACCTTAGGTACAAAAATGTCCACAGTGAGGAATAGCATAGCAGGTTGACCACATCCATCTCAAAGTTCTGCAGTAAAGCCATTATGCTTTAAGGATGTTACATTGTGAAACTTCTGAGTTCTTATCAAATGCTGTCACCCTGGTGAGTAATTACTCACCATGAAACAGGAAGCTGTTTTTTAAGAGCTGTACCTTTATACCCACGGAAAGTCTGCCACGTTGAATTAAAGTAGTAACTGACACATCAACAACACATTGTCAGATATTTCCCACACATCACCTTTGTGATATGTGCAGTGTTCACTTATAGCACGATCCATTATTCAACAGCTGTGCTTAACTCCCTTGCAGAAGTGACAGAACGCACACAACGGTTACACGGATGCAGCACAGCCCGACTTGAAGGAAGTCGTACCACGCAAAAGCTGCGCGTGTGCAGCACACCCCGACAAGCGGGAAGGTGTTCGGACCCGCTCATCGCTGCTTGCAGCTTTTATTATTATTATTATTATTATTATTATATGTAGCCATTTTGCTACAATCAGGCTTTATGCAACAGCTGCAGCAGCCTCTCTACACTCTTTCAACCCTTTCTTTTCTCCGTGAGATGGAAGAATTTAGAAAGTTGTGTGGTGCTGCAGTAGCACATGGATTGTGCATAAAATTCCTCCAGCCAGCCACTGGGGCTTACAGGGCCAGGGACAGGAGATCGTGGAGCGACCGGGTGCACTGTGGACGGTCGGTGATTCTTCCCTCTGACTTGAGGAAGCTAGATGCTCCTGATTTTACGCATTATCCATGATGATACAGAAATATCGAAAATAATGAAGCATAAGAAGCATACTGTCAATATTTTAGAGAGTTCATGTCTTATTAAGGGGAGCTCACCCTGGCTCCCCCGTAGTTCGCAACCTGGGTGGAACCCTAAGTCGTAATTGAGATTAAATTAAATTAATTTAATTTAATTTAATTAATAGCACAGCACTATCCAAGTGAAGTCACAAGTCATTGGCGTTAAAGTCAAAGTTGAGTTGCAAGCCTTCTTTGATTTTGGCAAGTCGAGTCTAAAGTCGTCAATTTTATGACTCGAGTCTGACATTCGAGTCCACACAACTCTGGTTACAGGCCTTTTTCACAGAAGACATTTTGTCTTGTCAGTGTGTTACTAATGCCATTAATGAAGCTCTGCTGTGAGGCTAATAAACTCCGCCCAGCTGATGTGACACCAGCCTACGGCGTGATAGTAATCAAGTGAACCCTGTAGCGCTGTGATTCCAGAGGGTTGTGACGAGTGTTAACTTAGCTGGTGGAGTATTGCTATATAAACATCAAAAAAACTGAGGTGCAACCTTTGGGACTGTGAGCTGAACTTTATCAGAGGTGCTAAAGTTAACATGTGTGAATCTGTGGTGAGATTTCTGCCTGATCACAAGTGTCGTCGGTTAGTTTCGGTTTCACATGCAACATGCAGTCCCAAATAGTGTCAGTCAAACGGTCTGAAGAGGATATTACCCGTGGAACGTAATGCACAGCAGAGTATAGGGCAGGTATACTTGAAAATAGAATGAGTTCTCATTAAATGATGACATTTGCTGACTTTTTTTCTTGAAATGTCAGAGAACACAGATATGTGGGAGAGATTCTGAATGTTCAGAAAGTTTTGAACATGAGCAGAAAACCTGCTGTAACACAGGAGCTGTTAAAAGTCCAGGAGTTTGTACCTGAATTTAAATTAATTCATTTCTCATTGAGGTGAAAAGGTGCCACAGGCACATTAAGTGCTCACTCAGCAGGGATGATATTAGAGAAAAGTTGATCAACAGGAGAAAACATATCTGAAAGCAACACAGAATGCCTGAGAGTTGCACTGCATTATATTCTGTTAGATTTTTAGATTTTGAATTGTCACTTACCACCTGAATTTTTTTACATAAATAAAATATTTCCACAAAACATTGGTGGTGACAAATTCACCAGAACGCAGGCAATTAACTGTTTAATGCTCCAAATTTTCATATAATCCATCATTGAACATTTCTTAAAAATAATGTTGTGTAGTTGTATAAAAAAGGTTTTACCAGTTTGGAGCAGTCCTATTGGCTAGCACAATGGTCTTCATTGAGGCTATTGGCTATTTCGATGCTCCAAGTTTTTGCTATTGGCTGTTAGTAGTGGATGCCTCATCCCTCTCCTCCAGGTGCTGCAGGTTGTCAGTGGGAGTCTCAGCTGTCAATAAAAGAAACACAAAGGACAAAACATTAAGAACGATTCATACAAAGCAGCTGTCTCTGTAATGATTAACCAAATTATAGACAATTATTGAATATCTAACAATTCTAAACCAGAGGCAGCAGCACTTTCTGCACGTGTGTGCATCACTGGTGTTGCTTTGATTCTAGACATGGCAGCGTCCCTTAAGGTGAAGTCATTCTAGAAGCTAGTCTGCACATGATAACACGTTACACAGTTTTGTCGCCCAACCAACATATCTTGTTCATTTAAAATCAGGCAGCTGTGAAATTAGTTGTAAAAGTGTCAGAACAGAAGAAACGCAGCAGACTCTTCTGTATTTCTGTCAGTTGTTGTGCTCATTACATTTAAAACATTCTGTATAGCGCCTTTCTGACCACTCAAAACGCTTTTACACCAGTAAAGTCATACACTGAGCCTAAGTGCTCAAATGGAAACTAACATTCACACTCATTCATACACTGGCGACACGCAACCAGGGGGAGCCAGGATTGAACCGCAGACCTTCCGATTAACTGCCAACCCGCTCTACCTCCTGAGTCACAGCCTCCCCATAGACAGTGATAGTCTTTAGATAAAGACTTATTTATTTTCATATAATTGTGCATGAGGTCATTGCATTACCTATCTAATATAAAATAATAAAACATTTTTCTTGATACTGCACACTTTAATGTTTTTCATATGTTTACATAAGGTATTGGATGTTATTATTTTAATATTTATGCAAACAAAATGTTAATTTTATTTGTGTTTCAATACAAAACTTTAAATGTTTTCAGTGTGTGCCGGGATGATTGAAACGCAGGATGAATGAAACAGCGATTTGCTCCGAGCCTATACAGGTCTGATATGCCAAACTACCTCAGCACATACAAGAACACAGTACTTAACAGAACCGCGATACATCAGATGGATACATCACACTTTCACGGTCATTTCTTCAAGTTGTGTTTAGTGTTTCATGTGCCATGGTCATGATCACATGACAGATTAGTTAGTACTATAAACATCCTGAAGTTTTAAATCTCAAAGTTTAACAGTACAGAAGCTAGTGAAGTTTCAACATCAGGAGTCAATGGGACGTTTGTAACACCTGTTTCAAACATTCCGACACGTAGCCATTCTACCCTATTTAGATACTGCAGGAGGGGGGCAGAGTCAACTAGGCTGCAGGCTCAACCACCAGGACACTGACAGATAAATAATAGGGTCTTCACAGTGGAGTAGGAAAACAGGTTGCAGATGACCATAAAAAAGGGCAGCCAAGATGTAATCCAAATGTGCATTAGCTGTTTGATGTTCTAAAAGTTATATTTATTATATTTTTATTAAGAAAAAAGACATATGTTTGCAGTTACATATTAAGATGACACAGTCAAGCATTTTAAAGCATAAACAATTTAAATGTATATCGTTGTGTTTCTTCCGTCCCACCGGTGTTTCATCTGTTACGCACAATACGGACAAATGAAGCAATGCGTACCTTTTCTTTAAAGTCAAATTAAACCAAAGTCATTTGCACATTTTTACAAGATAGCATCTGGTATTGATAGAACACACGCGAGTTGTTGATTACAACAACAAATTATTTCTGTCTGTAACTTTATCTTTTAAAATGATGTATATCTATAAGTGCCATCATTTTGTCAAGTGTGTCATTTACATTTTACAGCACATTTTAACAATACTGTGATTATACTGATAACCATGATAATTTTGGTCACTATAATTGCTCATCACAGATATTGACTTGTACTCCATGCTTGGAGCAATAATAGTACACAGCTGTCCCTGATATTTGACCCTCTCCATCTTTATGCACTGAGCCATGGTTCTGCTTGAGGTTTCTGCCACTTAAAAGGAAGATTTTCCTTGCCTCTGTCGCCAATTCCTTGCTCACGGTGGGAATTGTTGGGTCTCTGTAAATAATATCAGAGTACGGTATAGACCTGGCAGATGTGTCATGTCCATACCTACTAAAAAGCCTTGAAAGTGTTCCCCTATACCAAACACGAAGTCTGCCATTTTGACATGTTACAACCTCAGTGTACATGCTCACATCTGGACCAAACTTTAAAGGTTTGATGACAGTCACGCCCTGAACACATATGCCGATGATCACTCAAAGTCATAGCACCATCAACTGGCAACAGGATGTAAGCCCTTTGTGACATCAGAAATTGGATTTCTTTGACATTTTCACATTGCGGCACGGTGGTATAGTGGTCCTCCTCACAGCAAGAAGGTCGCGGGTTCAAACCCCGGTTGCCCCAGCCTTTCTGTGTGGAGTTTGCATGTTCTCCCCGTGTCTGCGTGGGTTCTCTCCGGGTGTGACTGTGAGCGTGAGTGGTTGTTTGTCTATGTTTGGCCATGCGATGGACTTGCGACCTGTCCAGGGTGTACTCCGCCTTTCGCCCGATGTCAGCTGGAATTGGCTCAAGCCCCGCACGACCCTGTACGCAGGATAAGCAGTTGATGATGGATGGATGATATTTTCACACGTAGTCCACACTTCATGTACTGGTACACAGCATATGATTAGCGGGTGTTCTCTAGGACACAGGCAGTGATGTTTCACTCCTTGACCAGTACAAAAGGCGCAAGGGCCCACCCTGCTTACAGCTTTAATTATATATATATATATATATATATATGTATATATATATAGATACACACACACACAGTATAACTATACCTGCTTTTTCTTAAGAACACCAACAAGTAAAGTGCATTCTTTGCTTGTTGTCTCCTATATTATATTATGATTTGGCAAATAAATCAGCAAAGTGTGTTCATTTCCATATTGTGTCAACAAATTTCAAAACACTTTATTTATCCCCATGGGGCAATTGCAAGACCTGTAGATTAGTACAAGTTAAATAAACTTCCACAGCCATGACACAAAGTCTGCCAGCTAACTTTAAAAGCAACAGGAGCAACAAAGCCAGTTAGCGCCAAGCTGCTAACTCTGCTCCATCCTTTTCTCCTTACAATCGTTTTCTCCGGTCCGAACAATCGAAACACTGCACAGCAAAGACTGCATCGGAAACACAATTCTGTCCTGTCTGGATCTTCCAGAAATGACAGAATTGCTAGCTAACAAAGCAGCACCAAAGCAACCCTTCTTCCTCTATGGACTGGTGTATGATGTAGGACCAACCCTACTCTAGATAAATATGGGCTGATGGTCATTTGTGGTGATTTACACACTTTTTACTTAACAAACTCCTCCTAGGGAATTAGTCTGATCAACTTTAAATTTTTCGCTGTGCAGTCTAACCCCACTGATGATTAAAATTTATTCAAACGGTTATTACAAGTCGACCAGTTTGTCCGTGGCGTGTCATAAAAAATTGGTGATTCGCCATGAAAGAGGAAGTTGTTATAACTTCAGTACACATGCTCACATCTGCACCAAATTTGATAATTATAACAAAAGTCCTGCTCTGAACACATCCATATACCAATATTAACTCAAAGTCATAGCGCCACCTGCTGGCAACAGGAAATGACATGTTTTACGTTGTAATGTACTACTCCTAGCAGGTTGGACATATCAACTTCAAAACTGTCTGTTTGATCTGTACCAAATTTTACACGTTTAATAAGAGTCCCACCCGAACACATGTACACTCACCTAAAGGATTATTAGGAATACCATACTAATACTGTGTTTGACCCCCTTTCGCCTTCAGAACTGCTTTAATTCTACGTGGCATTGATTCAACAAGGTGCTGAAAGCATTTTTTAGAAATGTTGGCCCATATTGATAGGATAGCATCTTGCAGTTGATGGAGATTTGTGGGATGCACATCCAGGGCACGAAGCTCCCGTTCCACCACATCACAAAGATGCTCTATTGAGTTGAGATCTGGTGACTATGGGGGCCATTTTAGTACAATGAACTCATTGTCATGTTCAAGAAACCAATTTGAAATGATTCGAGCTTTGTGACATGGTGCATTATCCTGCTGGAAGTAGCCATCAGAGGATGGGTACATGGTGGCCATAAAGGGATGGACATGGTCAGAAACAATGCTCAGGTAGGCCGTGGCATTTAAACGATGCCCAATTGGCACTAAGGGGCCTAAAGTGTGCCAAGAAAACATCCCCCACACCATTACACCACCACCACCAGCCTGCACAGTGGTAACAAGGCATGATGGATCCATGTTCTCATTCTGTTTACGCCAAATTCTGACTCTACCATCTGAATGTCTCAACAGAAATAGAGACTCATCAGACCAGGCAACAACATCTTCAACTGTCCAATTTTGGTGAGCTCTTGCAAATTGTAGGCTCTTTTTCGTAGTGGAGATGAGTGGTACCCGGTGGGGTCTTTTGCTGTTGTAGCCCATCCGCCTCAAGGTTGTGCGTGTTGTGGCTTCACAAATGCTTTGCTGCATACCTCGGTTGTAACGAGTGGTTATTTCAGTCAAAGTTGCTCTTCTATCAGCTTGAATCAGTCGGCCCATTCTCCTCTGACCTCTAGCATCAACAAGGCATTTTCGCCCACAGGACTGCCGCATACTGGATGTTTTTCCCTTTTCACACCATTCTTTGTAAACCCTAGAAATGGTTGTGCGTGAAAATCCCAGTAACTGAGCAGATTGTGAAATACTCAGACCGGCCCGTCTGGCACCAACAACCATGCCACGCTCAAAATTGCTTAAATCACCTTTCTTTCCCATTCTGACATTCAGTTTGGAGTTCAGGAGATTGTCTTGACCAGGACCACACCCCTAAATGCATTGAAGCAACTGCCATGTGATTGGTTGATCAGATAATTGCATTAATGAGAAATTGAACAGGTGTTCCTAATAATCCTTTAGGTGAGTGTACATGCCAACATTCACCCACAGTCATAGCGCCACCTGCTGGCAACAGGAAAATACCTTTAATAAAGCAGCCCCCTGGCACGTTTTACCTACATGTATGAAATGTCTGTGGCACATGTATCATGTATAGACGTA